TGTGTGTGTGTGTGTGTGTGTGTGTGTGTGTGTGTGTGTGTGTGTGTGTGTGTGCGCGCGCGTGTGTGCGTGTGTGTGCGTGTTTGTCACAAATTAAGTAAAGTATTTTACTATGATTTATGAAACCTTCGGTCTATCGGACCTTCGGTCTATAGGGCTGTAACCGTTGTGACTAGCGTGTATTAGTCAGGTCCCTTAGCATCATGATCGCGACAGAGCTGACAAAAGCATTAAACTTTGCACAGTTGTAGCTTATGGCAGTACTATAAATATTAGAGGGGGTGCCCAATGTAGATATTCCTTAGAAGTGAATTACAGAACCGAAGTGAATTCGAACCGCGCCCGCCTATACTGGCGCATTGTGTACAGCTGGTAACCCCCCCCCCCCCGCGCGCTTACGCTATGTCTAGAAATCTACCTACATATATAGACACATGTCTCAGATAATAATTAAGGTTAAATATAATTATATTTAGGATATAGCTGGTCGAGTTAGGATTGTAATTTAATTAGGGTTATTTTGCGAGATCAGATTACTGATGTCTGTTTCTGAAAATGAGCCGGTTCAGTTTCAGAATGGGACAAATACCGAATCAGTTTGTAACATGTCATTATAAAAAAAGATGAAAAGGTAAAAGCATCAAATCTAATTGACGTGAAAAATAGAATCATGTACAAGATTCTGTATTTGCAGCAATGTTAATTCTCTTTATTTAAAATACAAGTGATAAATGTGAGTCAAAGATGATTAGAATATTACGTGACTACAATACGTTTTAATTTTAGACATTTAAAAAAAATATGATCCCTTTTTTCAGAGTGTAAGATGACACAGGAAGGTTATGATTGCAGATTGTTTGGCTATCGTGGTAAGTGTATGAATTATGTATTTTTTCTTTTGTAATCCCCAGTGCCTTTATTTCCTAGCATCATGTGCTACATTAGATACGATAACGTAGCACTGCTGAAACAGGGCTACGAATCGATCCTATCCTTTTCTGGGAGGCACCTGAAATCCGTGTGAACGTTTCACGATTTATTTCTGCAATTACTCGCCTCCAGGATGGCTGAACTTAAGAAAGTAACCCTTTTCCGAACTTTTTAGCAGAATAACGATCGAAGATGTTGTAATATCCAATATTAAATTGCGATGTGGAGACTGTCGTTTTTTCTAACCGCCATTTTTGTTGACCTACGCAGCGAATGCTTTGATCGTTATTGGGTTAATATATTGTGCTCAAAAGTTTAACCAATCTTGAGGTAAGTAATTGCAGAAATAAATCGTGAAACGTGCCGATGGAAATCCATCGGCAGGTGCTCCACAGAAAGGTATAGGATCGATTCGTAGCCCTGTTCGAGCAGGGCTACGTTATCGTATCTAGTGCTACATGTACTAATATTTTACTTATATGGCCAAAAAAATTATTTGTCATAAGTAAATTTTTCACATTTGTTATGCAGGGATCAAGTTGATGGTTTTTTCATTTTTGTTATTATTGTCCAAGGAATGAAGCTTCACTTTACCATTAATACTTAATATATTAGTAAGAAGTACCTGAAACTCTTTCACTCTATTATTTATAATTATCTAAGATTATATTTTGATTGTGTATGGTTAATGTTAATTTTTGCTATCGATTTGTGGTCAACAATATTTGGGGGCAATTTTATGTTTTTATAAGTTGCCTAATAATTTAGCTATTATTTTTGCAATTTTTTTGCCAAGGTTTATTGCAATTACAATATCTTTTCAGAGCAACCAAAAAAAATAAACGGAACTTTGGGGCTTTTGTGTATCGTTATAAGGTTATAGTCATTTAGTGTTCTTACATATACAAGGGGTTGGTTAAACCCCTTGCAAAAATTTCAGAGTGCTTGGGGATGTTTGACAGTATGGAGTTTCTTGTCCGACTTGATGGGGTTATAGTGTCCGTACGTGCGGGTTGGTCAAAGCGCCTATTGCATAACTTTCGAAGGTAATGGGAGTCAGGCAATAATGGGGTTTCTGTCGCACTTAATGGGGTTAATAGCGGTCCGTACAGCTACGCGGGTGTCAACCCTTTGCATAAGCTTTACAAGTAATGGAAAAGTTTAGGCAGTATACAGGGTTTCTTGTCCGAGCCTTGTGGAGGTTATAGTGTCCCGTACATAGGAGGTTTAGTCGAAACACCTTTCGCAAATAACTTTTCGAAGTAATTGGGGAAGTTCAGCAGTTATGGCGTTTCTTAAGTTCGCGACTTGATCGGGGTTTACGTGTCCGTACATAAGTGGGTTGGTCATAAGCCGCTGGCATAAATTCCAAAGTAATGAAGAAGGTTTAGGCAGTGATAACAGATTTTACTTCGCGACTTGATGGCAGGGTTATAGACTTATAGTCTACTTCCTATATTAAGTATAAGCAACTGGAAATTTCTATTGGTTCTGGAGAATTTAATATATCTGTTTTTATGTTTTCTGTTCACCACTAAATGGCCAAAGTTTGAAATCTGAAAGAAACTAAAGTTTATCATCTCGCATTTGAATGTATTTTTAGCTGATCAAATCATGCCTATAAGTATACATTGTATCGCCCGCACGACGAATGTCGGGCGGGATACTATGGTTTCATTTCTGTCCAGACGACGCCGCCCGGCAGACACTTTCCTTCCGCGCTCTATAACTCGACCCTAAATTTACCTAAGGGTGATCGCAAACAACTGGTAAATACTTAACACCATCTTGGGGAGAAGGTGCACAAGCATACAAAACCAGGTCCACGCTTATTTGGACCTTTACTTTGACCTCGATCATATTACCCTTGAAACCGCTATAACCCATCGGGCCCCTACTAATTGATCTAGGCGCGACCAAACTCTCGTATATTACACATCTTGGAGAAGGTGTGTCGCGTAGCCGAAACCCAGGCGTCTACTGCAACTTTATCATTCTTACATTGACACTTGACCTTGCCCTTCATTTTTCCGCTTGTCCGCTCTATAACTCTGCTCCCTAATATTGACCTACGCGCCGAGCAAACATTCGTATACTTTGTTACACATCTTGGGAGAAGGTGTGTCGCGCTACCAAACCCCTAAGGCAACCAAAATTCTAACAATACTTGGCAACATCTCAGGCAGATGAGTTGTGTAACCAAACGCTTTGTCTTTGTGAGCGTTATTTCAGAACTTTACCTAACCATTGCCTAAAATACATCCTTAAAGGCCGCCCGACACACCAGACCGATTAATTTAGACAAACGATAGAAGCGATGGAAAGGCGTGTGGTGTGCGCGTTCATATGCTAGAGCGAATTTTATTTTTATCGGGTGATCGTTCCAAATCCAAACCTGTTTGATGTTTTGAACCGATAGAGCCGATGAGCCGATTTATAAGGCGCGCGAGCACACAACTACACTCGCGTTCATCAGCTTATCATCGCTTCATCGCTTCATCGCTTCATCGTTTCATCGTTTGTAAAATCGGCTGGTGTGCGGCGGCCTTTACACACATATTTCATTGATACTAGATCACGGGGGATACATGTAGTTGGCGACAACTGCCCTTTCTAGTTGAGTCATGTTAGTAATAATATTGGTTTTTGTTCATTTCAGTAGGTGATGCTGTCCTGTGCCTACTCGACATGGGTGTATGGTGGCCATGTGTGGTGGATGAGGTGGCTGATAAGTTCGTGAAAGTGGCCTTTTGGAATGAACCCTGTGTGTAAGTGTATATTCCTTCAATATATATGTACATGTAATGCATGGTCTGTTCTACTTGAATAAGATAGATTGGCTGCAGTGATATATGGCACATATATACAAATCTACTTTTGCATATTTCTTTTATCATAGAGCTTGTGTGTGTTCCTGAGATATAGAACATTAAATCGCTGACAGATTGAGAAAGCTATAATCTTTTTTGGCACTAGCACATGCATTGTGAATATCTGAACAGAAAATTCTCCACCAACATCTTTGTATTAGAGTGTTGTTTGTTTATCAGTCTAATACACTATAGCACCAAAGTTAAGAGAATTCAGAAGCAAGTTATGTAAAACATTTGAATATAATTGACCTAGAAATGATTGTGGTGTTACTATATCTATACTTGGGTATAAACATGCCTTGATGTCGTAACCAATAGGTTTGACAGATTACAATTTCTTAGGAATAATAATTACACATAAATGTATCTTCCTGATCTAGTTCATATACTTTTTTACACGGCAACATTTCATGAATGGATGTAGAAAAATCAGCATTTAAGCTATGCATAATTAAATCATATGTGTTGCATCATTGTGTAAAATAACTGAACCCAGCCAAAATGCACAACACTACTTTTTTGCTCCTTATATATTAAAGTAAAGTTTATAATTAAAGTTTATAAATATATTAATGTAAATGTCGAGTAATTTTAGAAATTAGTTCTAATCTATTGCTGAGAATATTCTGCTCCCCTTTCATACTTTCCATTATTGTGTTTAGGTTGCTATAGAATAATTTACAATGTTATACCTTACTAGGATGAAAATAAAAAAGGCGAACAGATTAGTGCATTTTGATGCAAGTTTAAGATTGATCTCCATGAGTTTAGGTATCATTTTGAGCTACGTTTGAAGTTGATTTTGCCATTGATAATTTATTGCACGATTCCTGTTGTATGTTACATGCATGCCCTATTTTTGAAGCACTTTACATGCTTCTACATTATTTCTGCATGTTACTTAATAAACAACACCATCTAACATGTTGTTATGTTGTTGAATAATTTAATGACTAATGACTAACATTGTTGAGTAAAGCAATAAACATGCATTTACAATTACAGTGGATTTACTGGTGGATGTTCACCATTTGAATATGTATATAAAAGCAATACCTTGGCAAAAAAAAGAATTTAGGGCTCATTGATTTTTATCCTTCAATACACAGTAGAACATGCAGAACTTTCCATTATTATTTTGAAAGTGAAAACTAGTGGCCAACGGTCTATGTTACAATGGATAATGGATTATTAATGCAGTTGTTTTTGAAGGTCAATTTAAGTTTCAAGCAAGTTTCACTAATGCAGCAAAGTTGTTTTACGTTTTCTGTGTTTCTCACTGAATCTTGTTCTAACCTGTTACAGAAATCCTTTCAAGGAAACGACGTAGTTATCTACCCAAGTTTAATGAAGATATAGAGAAGGCAAAACAAACTTTGAGCTTGCGGGCCAGGAGCACGGAAGATAAAATTAATAGTGACCAGGAAGAGGGTGAAGCACACAAGAGCACGGAAGATAAAATGGATAGTGACCAGGAAGAGGGTGAAGCACACAAGAGCACGGAAGATAAAATGAATAGTGACCAGGAAGAGGGTGAAGCACACAAGAGCACGGAAGATAAAATGAATAGTGACCAGGAAGAGGGTGAAGCACACCAGATGAAAGAGGCAGTGATAGGTGACAGACCGAAGAAAAGGGTACATCAGGATGGGGATAACAGACAGAACATAGAAATGGGCAGTGTATCTAAGGAGATAGAATCCAACAAGCATTTAGAGGACATTGACAATACATGTAAGAAATATATAATGGATTATGAAAGCTTGGATGACTCTGATAATGACCCCGATTATAATACTGACGCAGATGACGATGAGACTTCAGATACCACAGATTCAGAAAAAGAAGATAAAATTAACAATAACAGGAAAATTATAAAACCTAAGAGAAAAAATGAATATAGAGAGAAAGCCAAACAGCTGGAGCAAAAGCAGAAAAGTTCTAACAAAATTTGCTTTGATGTTATCTCAGGCAGTGAATCAGATACATCAGAAATATTTGGAGTACAAGGAATAATTGAGAGAAGCTTACACGTGCTGAATACAGATAAGTGTATTGATCCAGAAGTTACTGATCAGAAGCAGGATAATGGCACAAGTGAAGAGAAATCTGTCGACCTGAGTGATTCTGATGCTGATGAGCTCAGTGTAAATGAAGATGAAATAGTGAGAGATATAAACTGCCCTGGAATTTTCGTTAAAAAGATACTAAGAAGTGAATCAACTAAGCTTGGGAAAAAAAAGAAATGCAGCCGTATGTATAATAGTACTTATGCATGCCCATTTGGATGCTCCAAGATGTTTACCAATTTCTCTCATCACATCATGTCTACCAAGCATAAAAATGAGCCAAAGGTCCAGATTATTTTGTCAAAATCTGGTAAAGAAAGAAAGCGCCAAATTGATCTGCTGAGATTGAAAGCAGCTCATGTTCATAATGAGTCTGTGTTGAAAAAGACGAAAGGATTGTTTCTTCTTGGAAGAAGAGAGGCAGGGTCGCAGGTGGATGTGTCCAGGTATGGGCCTTGTCCCACATGTCTGGAATGGTTGAAGCTCAGTGTTATTGACAGGCATCAAGCAAAGTGCCCAGGAATAAATACCAACACTGATGTATTGCAATCCAAAGGATCACTTCTTGTGCAGTCAGCAGTTTTGGCTGGACGCATTGAGGACAGTGTGAGCGATGCCCTACGGAGTAAAGTTTTCACTATTATGAGACAAGATGAAATTGGAAATGTAGCACAAAATGATCCGTTAATTATTAACTTAGGAAACCAGTGGATGCAGCGTAACATTGGAAACAAGCTGATGAGAAAGTATTATACTTCCTCAGTAATGCGATTAGCAGCTAGGCTTCGAATCAACCTCAATAAGCTCCAAACTCTACCAGAAGGTCCGGAATTGTCAAACTACCTGGTCGCAGATCATTTTGACTTAGTTGTAAAAGCATCACTGCTTTGTGCAGCACAAGATGCAGATGATGAAGAGGAGTTGGGTACACCTAGCAATGCCATTAAACTATCACATAATATCCGAAGACTAGCTTCAGCAAAACTTGCCTTTGCCATCAAACAGGGTAATGAACCTAAGAGACGTGAAAGTAAAGATTTCCTTACACTGATCAAACTTGAATGGACAACTAAACTTGCAAGAGTGACACTTGAAACAAGAAAGTTCAATTCCAAGAAGCCTCTGCCTCTTCCCCAAGATGTCTTAAAGTTAGCAAATTTCAACAAAGAAGAGTTGGAAAAATTAGACCTGAATGATGCCTCGTACCCGAATTATCGAAAGGTTGTAACACTGACCGAAACGAGACTTATCCTCTACAACCGAAGAAGGTGTGGAGAACTTCAAGCCATGCAGTGAGTTGACAGTAATTTTACAAATGTTTATCAATGTTTAGTAGTATAATATTTACATAAACATTCATCAGGTGTGGCTAGTGTATACATTACACCAGTTTGACCAATTTCACAAGTTGGCTACTTTTAAAATTGCTGGAAATTTAAATAAACTTATGTATAAGCTAATTAATTAGAACTATAATTATTTGTAAGATATCTTTCTTTATACTTATATAGCCACATAAACATCTTGTTTCGAAATCGTGTGGCATGTGTCTATGAAGTAATGGGGAAGTTCAGCAGTATGGGGTTTCTTGTCCGACTTATGGGGTTATAGCGTCCGTACATAGCGGGGTTGGTCAAACCCTTTGCATAGCTTTCAAAGTAATGGAAAAGTTTAGCAGTATAGGGTTTCTTGTCCGACTTGTGGGGTTATAGTGTCCGTACATAGCGAGGTTAGTCAAACCCTTTGCATAACTTTCGAAGTAATGGGGAAGTTCAGCAGTATGGGGTTTCTTGTCCGACTTGATGGGGTTATAGTGTCCGTACATAGTGGGGTTGGTCAAACCGCTTGCATAATTTCCAAAGTAATGAGAAGTTTAGCAGTATAAGGTTTCTTGTCCGACTTGATGGGCAGGGTTATAGACTTATAGTCTACTTCTTTTTAATAAAGCATGAAATTGTATTGGTTTGAGAATATTATATATTGTTTTATGTTTTTTCACCATAAATCGCCAAGTTGAATCTAAAGAACTAAAGTTTATCATCTCATTTGAATTATTTTTAGCTGATCAATATGCTATAAGTATAATTGTATCCCCCGCGACGAAGTCGGCGGGGATACTATGGTTTCATTTCTGTCCAGCCGCCGCCGCCGCAGACACTTTCCCTTCCGCTCTATAACTCGACTCCTAATTTACCTAGGGTGACCAAACATGGTATACTTACACATCTTGGGGAGAAGGTGCACAGCATACCAAAACCAGGTCACCTTTATTTGACCTTTACTTTGACCTTGATCATATTACCCTTCCGCTCTATAACTCGGGCCCCTAATTGATCTAGCGCGACCAAACTTCGTATACTTACACATCTTGGGGAGAAGGTGTGTCGCGTACCGAAACCAGGTCACTGCAACTTTTATTTTACATTGACCTTGACCTTGCCCTTCATTTTTCCCTTCCGCTCTATAACTCTGCTCCTAATTGACCTAGCGCGAGCAAACTTCGTATACTTATGTACACATCTTGGGGAGAAGGTGTGTCGCGTACCAAAACCCCTAAGGCAACCAAAATTCTAACAATACTTGGCAACATCTCAGGCAGATGAGTTGTGTAACCAAACGCTTTGTCTTTGTGAGCGTTATTTCAGAACTTTACCTAACCATTGCCTAAAATACATCCTTAAAGGCCGCCCGACACACCAGACCGATTAATTTAGACAAACGATAGAAGCGATGGAAAGGCGTGTGGTGTGCGCGTTCATATGCTAGAGCGAATTTTATTTTTATCGGGTGATCGTTCCAAATCCAAACCTGTTTGATGTTTTGAACCGATAGAGCCGATGAGCCGATTTATAAGGCGCGCGAGCACACAACTACACTCGCGTTCATCAGCTTATCATCGCTTCATCGCTTACATACGCTTCATCGCTTTCATCGTACTTGTAAAAGATCCGCTCGGTGTGGGCGGCGGCCTTTACACACATATTTCAATTGATACTTAGATCACGGGGGATACATGTGTTGGCGACAACTCGCCCTTTACTTAGTTGCAGTTCATGTTACGTCAATCAATATTGTTTTGTTCATATTCACGTAGGTGATTGCTAGTCCTGTGGCCTACTCGATGGGTGTAGGCTGCCATGTGTGGTGATGGGTGGCTTGATAATTGACGTGAATAGGTAGGCCTTTACTGGAATTGAACCCTAGTGTTTAAGTGTATATCCTTCCAATATATATGCTAGCATGTAAATGCATGGTCTGTTCTCACTTGAATAAGATAGCATTCGCTGCAGTGATATATGGCACATAATAACAAATCTACTTATTGCATATTTCTTTATCATAGATGTTGTTGCTGTGTTCCTGAGCATATAAAGAACATTAAATCGGGCTGGACCAGATTGAGAAAGCCTATAATCTTTATTGCACTAGCAACATGCATTGTGAAATATCCTGACACAGAAAATTCTCGCAACCAACATCTTTGTATTAGGAGTGTCTGTTTGATTTATCAGCTAATATCACTAATAAGCAACCAAAAAGTTAAAGAGAATTCAGCACCAGCAAGATAATGTAAATACATTTGAAATATAAATTCTGACCTAGAAATGATTGTGAGTGTTACTATGATCTATACTTGTGGTATAAACAATGCCTTGATGTCCCGTAACGGCAATATCGTTTGAAGAGTTACAATTTCTTAGGAATCAATAATTACACCATAAATGTATCTTCCTGATCTAGTTTCATATACTTTTTTACACCGGCCTAACATTTCATGAAATGGATGTAGATAAAATCAGCATTTAAGCTATTCATAATTAAAATCATATGTGTTGCACTGCATTGTGTCAACAATAACTGAACCCAGCCAAAAATGCACAACACTTACTTATTGCTCCCTTATATATTAAAGCTAAAGTTTATAATCTAAATTTATTAATATATATTAATGTAAATGTCGAGGTAAGTCTTTAGAAACAATTAGTTCTAATCTATTGCTTGAGAATATCTGGCTCCCCTTTCAGTACTTTCCATTATTGTGTTTAGGTTGCTATAGAAATTACAATTTATACCTTACTAGGATGAAGAATAAAAAAGGAACAAGATTAGTGCAGATTTGATGGCAAGTTTAAAGAATTTGATCTCCATGAGTTTAGGTATCATTCATTGAGGCTACGTTTGAAGTTGATTTTGCCATTGTATAATTCTTATTGCAGCGAATTCCTGTTGTATGTTTACAGTGCATGCCTATTTTGAACGCAAACTTTAACATGCTTCTACATTGTATTCTGCATGTTACGTTAATAAACAAACACATCCTAACATTGTTATTTGTTGAATAATTTATGAGGCAACTGACTATAACATTGTTGAGTAAAGCAATAAACATGCATTTCAATCTACACGTGGATTCTCACTGGGTGGATGTCACCCATTTTGAATATGTCATATAAAAAGCAAATCACCCTTGGCAAAAAAAAAAGAATTTAGGGCTCATTATTTTTTATCCTTCATAACTACCATAGAACATGCAGAACTTTCGCAGTATTGATTTTGAAAGTGATAAACTAGTGTGCCAACGGTCCTATGTTACAATGGATAATGGACTTATGTAATGCAGTTGTTTGTTGAAGTCCAATTTAAGTTTCAAGCAATGTTTCCACTAACTTGCAGCAAAGTTGTTTACGGTTTCTGTGTTTCTCACTGAATCTTGTTTCTAACCTTTACAGAAATCCCTTTCAAGGAAACGACGTAGTTATCTACCCAAGTTTAATGAAGATATAGAGAAGGCAAAACAAAGCTTTGAGAGCTTGCGCGTCCAGGAGACGGAAGAAAAATTAATAGTGACCAGGAAGAGGTGAAGTGAAGAACACGATGCGTAGAGCACGAAGGATGAAACAGTGATAGTGACTGCAAGGAAGAGGAACACACAAGAAGCACGAAGATGAAATGGATAGTGACCAGGAAAGAGGGTGAA